ATTAAATGAAACTACTTTGGCCTCTTCTAGATCATTCGCTATTTTTATAAGCTATTATTTATAATTACAACAACAATAATTCAGGACCATAATTTAGAACAATCGAAACATTAAACATTCCCTCTCTATATGCTATGTTGTTGACTTTTAAAAAAAAATTTATACGCTGAATTCAGCACATGGTAACTCTGGTTTTATGTAATACAGTGTTATTATCAGTATTAATACTGATAGTAGACATTTTTTCGATTTGCTTTGTGGAAAAGATGTTATTATTTTTATTCAAATCGATTTCTTCATATTCAATTATTTAATTTAGCTTTTTTCATCTGATGTGTAAAATCCTAGACTGAACCAACTAGGAACAACAGCACAGAGCAGTGTCTAAAGTAAGTTTGGACCTTTCCATTTTGCCACTTTTTGCATACATTTATTGTACATTCATTTGTATTAAATGTCAGCGCTTCTGCTGCTCTATGAATATTTTTTGTTGAATTGAGCTGAGTCGTGTTGATGTTTAATGTTATGAATCATAATTTCTTCTTGTGGCTTTGGGTGCCCAATTCTTTAAACAAGTAAATGCATTTTTTTAACTGTTCATATAATGAACAAAGCCCTGCCTCTTTGGGTGGAAACAACCAGCTGCGTGTAGTTATATTGGTGAAGGAGCCGTTATTGCCGTTTTAAACGTGATAAAATATTAATGAGGGGATCCCATTAGGTCTGCCAGCTGGCCTACCTGATATTCTGTCCTTGGCGAACCTGTTTCCTATCCAAGGAAAGCACAGTCCTCCAAACCCGGGAACAGCGCTCTGGACAGGTGCCGGGGGTCCCGGGGCCGTTACAGGTCTGTGAGCGGGAACTCGTATCACACCCCGGCTGCCAAGGCTCCTGTTCTCTCCGTACGAACCCGAAGCATCCGCTGGAGGCATGATCCCAGAGAGGGAGATGGACAGCGCCGTGTATGAGGGCGCGTTGGCACCGCTCGGGTTTCCTAAGCTATAATAGGCGTCCCCGTTGCTTAAATCCGATCCACTCTGTCTGCCCGGCGTGCGCCCGCTCTCCGGCTCCGAACCGGCTCCCAGAATCTGGTCGATGCCGAAGCTGATGGGTTCGTGGTTGACTGCTTTTGGAGGAGGACTCGGCGCGCTTGGTGCTTGCTCCATCCCTCGCTCGGTCGCTGAAAGGATGGGGGGAACGTGTAGAAGGAGCTTTCAGAAAGGAATCACAATGTTGTCAAACTGTACCAAAATTCATCGTGAAAAGTCTCTCCATCGCTGGGCATGTCCAAGAAAAATTAAAAAAAAAAAAAAATCAGCGCGTACTCTCTAACAGGCCTCCTCTGGAGCACTGAGTCCTCTCTGCCGAAAGTTTGATGGGCGTTTGGAGAGATGTGACGCTCTGTCCTCCTCTCAGCGCGTCAAAGCGCTCCGTCTTAGAGCTCCGTCCTCCTCCATCCCTCTGCACCTTTCATTGGCTGGCACCGGAATGACTGATTGAATGTCAGCAGAGGGGAAGGCCCAGGCTTTGGCACAATAATCAAGATTTCCCATCACCACGAGTGTCAGAGTGTTTTATATGTATATATGGTAAGATATCGCATCTTTAGGCCTTGTGAGTGAGTCAGAGTTTCATTTAACGATCTTTAATAACATGAATACAGAAGAAGACGCGCGCTTTAACTAAACAAAAAAAAATAAAAATAAAAAATAAGACTAAAGAACTAAAATGAATGATTATTTCCGACAAATTACAAACTATTACCTCTGATATTGGTGTCCAAAACACTCATTTATAAGTTTTGTTGCCTTTAGACTGAACTGATCATAATGTGAGCTTTTCAAGCAAGACATACATTGAGCCTCATTTGTCCTCTTGCTTTTTCTGACACATCTTCAGACTCTATTATCTCACATATATACGTGAATAAGAATCTCCCAAGAAAACGGTCTCGTAGCTTTAAAGCTGTAAGATAGAGATCACTTGTGCAGAATGTTTCATGACAGACTTGAAATGAATAAAACACGTCAGATAAAAAAAAGAAGAAAAAAAAACGTTCCTCCTTAATGTCGTTTAAACTGTTGAATAAATGCAGGTTTTTAATGTCATCATGTTACAAGGCTAAACGTGTAGCCGGAAATGTTTTTGTCATGTTTTTTTTTTTTTTTTTTTTTTTAAAAAAAGACCATCAGAAATGCGTTTTGATTGCAATCCAGTGCGCAATTACGCTCCTTTATTCGATCACAAGACAAACCATTTCATTGGTCTTTGAAATAAAAAGGGTGCGTGTTGAGCACTGGCAGAAAACGAGCAGCACCCATTGAGCTTGGCAAACACTTCCTTTACGCGGCCTTATTTGTTCCCGTGATAGCCAGTACCACATTAAATGACCTGACAAGGGAAAGCCACGGGCTACTCCAGATAAAGTGTCCGGGCTCTGGAAGCTGCTAAGCGCTCAGATTCAATGTAACAGGCGCCCAAAGTGACCGGCTAATCTCATTTTCACTAACTTGTCTCATGGACAGACAAATGTGCATCGGCTTTGGATGCGGCAGGTGGCTTTTTAAGCGATCACATTACAGCACTTTAACAAACGGATGGCTCACATATTTGCATGTTCAGACTCTTGACTCTATTTTTAATATTTTAAGCAGAAGAAATCTATATTTTTTTATATTAACGCGGATCATCTTGTGTTTTTATTCCTTTTCTTGTCAAATATTTTTTTTACAACCAAAGGGGGAAAAAAAAACCATCTAATTGAGTGTATTTATAATTATTTTTTTAAAAAAATCCTCAAAATACTGACAAAGCGTATTGTCGTTCAGCTGCAATATGTGAGGCCATGTTCTTCAAATTCAAATGGGAATATAAATATACCTCACATCAGATATATACTTTTGAAAAAGTCACATCCTGCCTCTTACAATAAAGTGTTATAAAGCAATATGATGGGATAGGACAAGGCCCGAGGTGTTTGTTTGGCAATATGGACAGAGTCAGAGTGTTGGCTGCTTCACTCTGACCATATGTGAGCTCACCGGTGGCTTTTGATGGGGGAGAATTGGTCTGTTAAAGCTGTCATCGTTTTAGACAATTTTATGTTTCTCTCGACGACTCTTGCAGCTAAATCATGTAGCTTATTAAAACATATTCTAACATTCCTCGACAATGTATTAGGCATAATTGGTCATATGTTACGATTCCGACACTTGTTGAACAGTTGGTGCCCTGAATTTAGTTTGAGATAATAATAATAGTAATAATAAAAGACGAGTAGCCGAACACCATCAACTTTACCAAAGGATCATGATGTAGCGAAATTAAGACTTCAGTGCTTTTATTTCGAAGAAAAGATACAAAACTTGAACTGTACCGATAAAAAGATTTTCAAGGTGTTACAACAAAATAATAATAATAAAAAAATGTCACTGTACATTTATTGCTGGGTGAGTGTGTTTCACATCCGTCTGAAGGTTATCCGTATAGAAACTGCAACATTTTGGGTTTATTATACTTGTATTAAAAAGAAAATACATGGAACAACAGCATGGAAACGCAGATCCTATAATGTAAACTGGGTTTACAGTTCTGACACTCTGAACAATTAGAAACCTGGTTTTGCTTTTGAAAAAGTAAATAAACATGCAAAGGAAGGCGATCACAATCAGTAGGTCGCCAGAGGCTGATGATCTACAGCTGGTGTTACTAAGAGGGAGGAAGCAAACCTAGAACCAAAGAGCAAAATACAACAGTTCAGATGGATAAAAATGTGTAAAAACAAGACAAAAAAATATTCTAAGAAAAAAAATAACAGGACTCCAAAGTGTGTTGTCCATTAAGAATCTAATAATGTGTTACAATAAAAGTAAAAATCGACAATAAATACACTGGATTGATGTTAAGAAAAAATATTACAAACAAATCCACCATTCAAATTAGTCTGTATTTTTCACCCCGTGACGTCAGGTGAGCGTTTTTCATATCCAGCGATCAAAGGCATGAAGGTACATATTTTAAATCCAAACATATTCATTTTCGACGTGTGTGTTTATTTATTATTTTATGTTTATTTATCTAGGGAAATTACCTTTAGGATGAAATTGCCTTCACCGAATACCTGCTTTTTCCAAACATGAAGAATTATTGTATTTTGTTAGTGACCACACACAAGGTGTCCCATTCACTGAAGAAGATTGGTGTTGGTAATCTGTTACAATCCAGGGATGTCGAAACGTCATATTTCACCTCACCATGAAGCTCCACAGCTCACGTCCTGACACCTTATATGGATTTATTAATAGTGAGGAGAGCGCCAGCCCAGAAAAGCCCCAAAAGTACATTCGGCGCTAAGCCAGTCTTAAGGTCATCTTGTTCAGAGCAAAAATATTTAGTTTCTTAAAAGCTGCAGCCCGCATGAACAATTGCACAGACATCAATCCTCCTTTCTAGTTTTTTTTTCTTTCTTTCTTTCCAGAGGCAATATAAAAGCTGACACCCTGATTCCAAAAGTCCAAAAAAGAAGCGACAACAAAAGAGTGAAAGAGTGCGATTTGTTTGAGAAATTACCACTTGATCTGCATAATCGGGGGGTTTTGGGCTGCAGCTCGGTACCCGGGGGCTGCGTTTTTATTGCGCGTCTCCTCGCCGTTATCAATTTCAGCGGAGCGCCTGACTTTTTAAAAGGAGGGGACGAGGCCGGCTGCCTCTGAATAATGAATGACACGCTTTTATATTGTCGCTAAAGTGCCCGTGATGTTACAATATGAAAAGGCAGCGGTAAGTAATAGTGCATTTAAGGGGGATGTAGTGTATTATTATGATGTAAAAGAGAAGGAGGGAGAGGGAGACGAGCGGAGAGCGGCACCGGGAGAAAGACAGAGATTGTTTTATTACAATAAGAGGAGATGAGTTTGCCTCGCAGCGAAATGGGGACCAGTTAATGAAACTTTACCGCAGCTAACGATTTCCCCTCCCTCGCTCTAAAAACCCGCCCTTATGAAATATTTAAACTATTTAATATAGGTAGTATTAAGACACTTGCATCGGCCATATGACAGCATTTAAAAAGCTGTGAATTTTTTAAACTTGGGCAAACAAAAGCTTTACTGTCCAGCTTCCCTTCGACTCGTCCAGCAAAAGTCGTACAAATCGGCTAAAAAGCGTGATAGGAAACAGTGATTTACTAATTTCTCCATCTTTTTCTCACGGAGACATAAGCTCCTCGCATTAACATAAGCCTGTCTTTAATGGGTGGGACGGACAACCCTCGGTGAAGGAGGGATAGTGTTTCATATTGACATGCTCAGTGGGATTGTTGGATGAGAAGAGAGCAATGGGATCCCCCATCAGGGACCGGACAGGACTATCATCATCATCATCATCATCATCAGTGGCGGTTCTTGCATGAATGCCACCCTGGACACCAACTCCTCCCGAAACACATGACTTCCCACTCAAACAGTATTTGAGGAAAAAATAAGTTGAGATATAATATAATATTTTATGTAACTTTTAAGAAACTTTAAGAACAAATATATATATATATATATATATATATATATATATATATATATATATATATATATATATATATATATATATATACACACACACACACATATGTGTGTGTGTGTGTGTGTGTGTGTGTGTGTGTGTGTGAGTGTGTTATTTGCTAGTGAAATGCTTCCAAAGAATTACCTCAATGTGTTCCTCATGCCAGAAAGATACAGGAATAACTTTTTTTTTGTGGGTTTTATAGAAAAAGTGTTAGTTATAAAAAAATTCAGAAATCTCATATAATGTCTTAAGATTTATTTCTGCATAGAACAGTTCAGTTTAGTACAATCATTATAAGTTTCCAAGATTAACAAATGTTATCCAGTGTACAGCTACATTTTACTTGGAAGTTGTGTCGTGACGGGGGATGGGTGCTCTTGCTTCCTCACTGACAAGTAAAGAAGCAAAAGAAAACCCACATTGTGTGCGATTTGACATATTTCCTTTTAAAATGGTGCCCTGAGTGGAGAGCCTTATCACCCATATCAAAGACCACAACAGTTCATCAAGTGTCTTTCCTCGGCTGCTACTAAAAGACTGGTGTGCTGCTCGGCACGCATGGACACAATTCATGTGACAGACAGTTAAAAAGCAGGGGGGAAAAAAACACCTAAAATGTCACTGTAAATGTCACTTCTTTCGCCTGGAAGATATTAAAGGATTTTAATTACCAGATATGAAGGTTACAGTCCCTAAAGAGTCTCTTTATTGGAGGAGATATATTTTATTCCTCTCTAAAGGACAGATGACAGCAAAAGTTTAGCGCTCAATATGTTGCAGCAGCTTATTGTAAAAACAGATTTATTTATTTTTTTTAAATTGTGGGGTCTTTGCACATATTCACATTCAAATATTCCCTGATGGGTATTTGTTTCACTTCACATC